CACACACACACACACACACACACACAGTGAGTATAGTAGGCGTAACCATAGGGAATTCCTCTGTTACTAATTAGCTTCCCATCTACAAGATGACCCCCCATGCAAGTGCAAATGACAGAGGCAGCAAACTGGGAGCGGAAATAACACAATCGATGGAGAGCAGGTGAAAAAACCCACAGGGGAAGAGAAGGTGAGTGAAAGAGACAGGAACTGAATATGATGGAATAATAACTGTGACGAGCGACAGTGGAGGAACAGAGACTGAAAGCATTGAACAGTTTTGCAGGGGGCAGATGAAGAACTCGAGCCTGTGCTTGTCACAGCTTGTGATGTTACAATGTGCTGTTTGTGTCCTTTTGACTCTCTGACCTCTGTTTAGCCTCTGGAGAAGCAAACATAAAAGGCTTTTTACACCAGGAGCAGTTTCTTTTACAAAACAAAACTGAAAATATGAAGAAAACATGCAGTGTTTTGGCCTGAGGACAAACTATGTGATTCTACTGATATGGCAATGTAAGAATTTCACCCTGAAAATAATAATGACATAAACAAAATGGTTATTTAGAGAAATAAAAGATATACCTGTGTTCCATCTAGTGGGTCCTTCTGAACAAAGGCTTGGACAAACTCCTCTGGCCCAATATGACTCAAATGTTCCTGGAAAACATACACACAGACACATACACATACACATACACATACACACGAGCACACACAGACACAAGCACACCACACACACAGATGGGGGTAATACCATTAATAAGTCTTTCATTTCAGTAATGGAAGGCAATCAATAAAGGGCAGTAATGACTCATCGACATGACTCATTGGAATCATATTTCCTCAAAGTGACACTTGAGACAATATTCACTTCTATTCAAAGAAGAAGAATAAAACTATGCAGTCTCATAACATGTGCAAATCAAAAAATCCAAATGACTCATTATAGCCTTCTTCTCAACACATGACATATGGATGCACACACAAACACATACACACACACACACACACACACACACACAAATGCAGGCACGCACCCAGTGGTTGTGGTCACGAGCACAATCTAAATTTTCTAATAGTATTATAATAAAAAATCATCTAATCATCTTTTTAACCAGAATTAGCATGTAGCTGAAGCCTACAATACATTTATTAAAGTACAAAATATGTGCACTGTATGTGTCTGTCTGCCTTGTTTGTGTGTGTGAAGCTGTCAGGTCACATATATCCACACTGGTTTTATCCCCTTTGTTTGAAGCCCCAGGCACATCACTGACTTCTGGGGTGATGTCACCGCTCAGTCAGGGAACAAGCTTAGTCAGGCACACACACACACACACACACACACACACACACACACACACACACACACACACACACACACACACACACACACACACACACACACACAC